CGGGCCCGGGCTGGGGATTCGAACCCGCCACCTTAGGTGTATGTGGCTGGCGCCTTAGCCAATTGAGCCACAGGCGCCGAGCCTATTTACTTTTTTCAAATAATTTTTAATAGTTTGCTCGATCCTCAATTTTTTCCTCTAGAATATCCCTCTGGTCCTTCCCGAAGACTATCTGGTTGTCTTGCAAGTAGAAGGAAATGTAGTTGCCTGAATCTTTGGAATAGGGAAGGATATCTGGAGATCTAATTCCTATTCACACAAGACTTTCACACAGTGTTCTGGTTTTCATTTCCATTTTACCTTCTCACTTCCAAAAATCTTGTAGTACCAATTTCTGAGTTTTCAAGAGACCTGTGGTATAAATTTGGGTTGCCTCTCAGTTTTTCACACTACTAACCCTGTATTCTACTTTTTCAGGGCTGCTTAATCAGTCGTCACTTGTCTGCTTTCCTGTATTCAGAATGTTGATACAACTTTCTCCTCTTCTGTACTTTTTGTCCATGGAGTATATACCTTAAATCTCTTTATTTTTATTGTGGGGACATTTAAGGAGGGAAAGAGTCATAAATTGTGTATTCAAACTGCCAACTGTACCTGGAGTTAGGAAAAATTCTAAACCTAAATTATAAGATGTGTTTATAGAGGAACTGTATTTATAGATTTCCTCTGTGTTCTCATACGTCCTAGGATGATATCCCCACTGGAATGCCATGCTTGGAGTCAGTGACTATAGGTGATGATATTTGGGATGAGAACTGGTTACCTCTGCAGGCTAAGATGGGAGATGGAGATAATGCTGCTTCCCATCTGTTTACCTCAAGGCTTGGTGGAAAGAAACCATATCCATCATGTGAAGAAATACCACAGAAGGTTAGAACCTTAGAAAATAGAAAGCAAATCACTGTTAACCAAAGGAAATTTAAATTTAATTGTCCAGGCTTCTAGAAAACTATACATTCTAGAATTCAAAAGGATTTATCAGGGCATGATTAAAAAGTAAATGATTGTTTTTAATCATGGTGGTAAATAGGGGGACAGAGGATTCAGGAGAGGGAAATAAACCTTGGGCTTATTGTACATATCTGCCTTTTCAGTGATTTTTATTTTATCATTGCCCTCTAGTGAAGACCTTAGGATTGTAAGTAAACTAAAGAAACTATTTTCTCTTATTTATTTTTGTTGCATTGGCCTTATAACATAACCTCTGGGTTTATGCAGTCAGAATATTTGCTAATGTTGGGCTTAACTATGTTTAAAATTTATTTTCCACTGGTTTAAGAAAGAAGAAATAACTTGAAATTAAGTGGCTCGTTAGTATTTGTATTGTTTAAATACTACATGATTATGAAAATGATCTAGCCATGAAAAAGGCACTAAAGAAAATACTACTAACAGAATTGTATTTATTTTTGAGATTCATGTGTTTAAAGGAGTTCAAAATATTGGGTATGGACTAATAAAATAAGGAGGAAAATCGCACTTATATAGGAAGTTAATACCTTTTCTTATTTATGTGCATTACCTTCTTGCCTTTATCTTGCCTACATTACCCTCTTTTAGATCATATGGCACTATGTTTCAGTTCACTTGACATAGTCTTTTTTCTTTTTTTTTTTTTTTTTTTTTTTGTAGGATTGGTGTTTTTCTGCATCCGGAGATATATGGGATGATTCATGGCAGCCTTCAGGTCCTGTGAGTGGAATGAAAGTAGAAGTTCAAAAACCAGAAGGACTGAGTTCTCAGGAGAAAAATACTAATGCAACCAGGATTCAAAAGGTAAACATGTAGGGCAGTGCCTGTGGCTCAAAGGAGTAGGGTGCCAGCCCCTACTCAGCCCCAGAGGTGGCGGGTTCAAATCCAGCCCCGGCCAAAAACTGCAAAAAAAAAAAAAAGGTAAACATGTAATGAATATTATTGTGACAGGTTTAGGTGAGAAAATACATTCATTTTTAGAAAGCAAAATTGTGATTGATGATTCTTAGCAGTTGATAGAATACGTATTTGTTAAATATATGTTGATCTTAAAATTATTTCAGTTAATTTAATAGTTATTCATCTCTTCAGAAGGAAATCTTGAGCCTAGAATTAAAATGATTAAATCTCTATGTTAGGAAAAGAAAAAATTATCAAAATACTATTCAGTTCTATTTTCCTCTAGCCATAAATTTTAAGCACTGTTTCTGTCCTGTAATCCAGACCAGTTTCTTTTTGCAGTGCTTGAGCAGAAAGAAGTAACCTTGGCACAAAATCCTTTTTTTCATGTTTCTCAAATACAGTAGAGCCTATTTAAGTTGACCACCCTAGGGACTCTTAACAATGTGCTGGTCAACCTATGGAGGTGGTCACAGAAGGAATTAGGCCTGTGCTGATATATACCTGTATTTTACTTTCTGTACAGTGCTTATTAAAGAATATTGTATGAAATCATACACAATCAAAACAGTAAAATCATATATATAGTATCATTTAAAAATTAATAAATTTACTATTTTCTCAAGAGTCAGTCTGGGTCTGTTTCTTTTTTCTTTTTTTTGAGACAGAGCCTCAAGCTGTCCCCCTGGGTAGAGTTCTGTGGCATCACAGCTCACAGCAACCTCCAACGCCTGGGCTCAAGCGAGTCCCCTGCCTCTGCCTCCCAAGTAGCTGGGACCACAGGTGCCCACCACAATGCCCAGCTATTTTTTGGTTGCAGCCATCATTGTTGTTTGGCGGGCCTGGGCTGGATTCGAACCCGCCACCTTAGGTGTATGTGGCTGGTGCCCTAGCCACTTGAGCCACAGGCGCCAAGCCCTGTTTCTTATTCTTATTACAAATGTATGTGGAAAAAAGCTTTCTTAATGCTGGCTATATACTATTCAGCATACCTGGACATTTTTCCACAGCAAATGACTTCAACTACACTATTGATTGCCTGTTATCTTCTTTTGGAGTCTCTGCAATTTCTTTCATCCTCACTTGCTTCCACTTCATCAGCTGTTTCAAGTACTTTTATGCTGGTCTAGACCTTGATCAAAATTGCTTGGAAAATTGCTTCTGGATCAGGTTCATTATAGGTTGCTTACCTCTTCATCCATTGCAACAAAACCTTCAACAACTATTCCTTCAAATTCTGCCATGGAAGATGGACTGTCTGATGGGACCAACACAGAAGTGTTTGACCCAGTTATGCTCTGAGGTTGTGACAAATCCAACTTTCTTGAAACACTTCTGTGCCATTTATGGCTAAACTTTATTCCAAGCAAAACTGAGGACAGCATCCAGAGCATTTAACTGGTACATGAATTTGTTTCCACAGGCTGACCATAGGTTTGTGTTTCAATAAAGACCCACTACAGGAGCTGGGTTTGGTAGTACATTTTAAGTGTTTTGATGATGATTTGGTCAAGAGTTTGGAGTTTTGAGGTCATGTTTGGGGGCAGAAATTTCAGTGTCATGTTTATGAGATGATTCACTTGCCAGTAGCCAGGACAGTTGTCTGTTTTCAGTAGAATAGACCATTTCCTCTGCACAGGGCATCAGTCATCCATGTGCATTTGTTTGATCTCCGAGTGACAGGGAGGTCTTTGGGCTTAAGGTTCTTGAGTGGATGTGACTTTGCCAATTTGACAATCAACAAGGGCTTTAGTTTCTCTCTGGGTGAGCTAGTACAAAGCAGAACCGTGAATCATTCTTCAGAAAGTTTTTCACTCTTTCATTTGTCATCCTTCATAATGAGGCTCCTGTCAAGCATTGTCTTGAAAAAAGAGTGCACATTTGTCAACATTACATATCTTGTAATCTCTGAAGCCTCTGGTGAATCCAGGACTTTCTGATGACTTCTTCTACAACTTCTACTAGAAGTTCATTGAATTCACCACATAAGACGGCAGTTCTCAACCTGTGGGTCGCGACCCCTTTTTAACAATGAAAATACATTGCAGCATTAGGAAGGTTGAGAACCACTGACATAAGACTTTCTGGGACAACTCATGTATCAGTTTAAATTTCTTAAGCCAACCATTTGATGCTTGGAAATCTGCCACCATGAATTTTTGTGCATTTTTGGATGTTGTTAATTGTAGTCTTGCTAACACTAAAACATCTACCATCTTTCTTTGGATGCTGCTTTCCAGAAAATGTAGAAGAATAATCTTTTCCTTCAGTGTCAGCTCTTTGAGTCTTTCCTTTGGGTCATCATGTTTCAATTAACTGCAAAATTTTTTAGTAATTATAGCACATACCTACAATGTAGACCAGTCCTTCATGTTGAGAAAATTCTCCACAACATGTGATTAAACAATGGGACTTTAGGCCTGATCCAATACATGGTAATAATAAAATATGGGGGAAAAAAACTTACACTAAAGAAAAGAATACAACTAAAGGGGAAAGCCCACACCTTCTGCCCCTTGGTATAGAGGAGAATTAACTGGTCAAGTTATAGTGGGTAAACTAATATTGTGTGTCATAGTCCAAGTGTTCAAGATATACCTTACAGAGCTGGTCAAGATACAGATGCCGGCTCGGCACCTGTGGCTCAAGTGGCTAAGGCACCAGCCACATACACCTAAGGTGGTGGGTTCAAATCCAGCCCAGGCCCGCCAAGCAACAATGATGGCTGCAACCAAAAAATAGCTGGGCGTTGTGGTGGGCACCTGTGGTCCCAGCTACTTGGGAGGCAAAGGCAGGAGACTCGCTTGAGCCCAGGCGTTGGAGGTGGCTGTGAGCTGCAATGCCACAGCACTCTACCCAGGGGGACAGCTTGAGGCTCTGTATCAAAAAAAACCCAAAAAACAAACAAACAAACAAAAAAGATACAGATGCCAGTCCTCCATTGACTACATGTGGTACGTGTCCAGTCTATGAAAATTAGGTCAATTCAGGGAAGTGGTCAACTATGAAGATTCTATTGTATATTATGAGCATCCTGAAAACAGTAGAACAATTTGTGTGAATCATGAAATTTGACTACCAGGCCTCTTTACTTTGGTGTGAAAATAAAGAGCTTACATCTAGAAGATTTGTCAAAACAAAAACAGAGGCTCGGCGCCTGTGGCTCAAGTGGCTAAGGCACCAGCCACATACACCAAGGTGGCGGGTTCAAATCCAACCCAGGCCCGCCAAAACAACAATGATGGCTGCAACCAAAAAATAGTCAGGCGTTGTGGTGGGCGCCTGTGGTCCCAGCTACTTGGAAGGCTGAGTCAGGAAACTCGCTTGAGCCCAGGAGTTGGAGGTTGCTGTGAGCTGTGATGCCACAGCTCTCTACCCAGGGGGACAGCTTGAGGGTCTGTCTCAAAAAAAAAAAAAACAGATTTGAGGAAGATGATCCTTCTAAGTGATATATTCCTTCAGAATATGGTTACTTTGTATGACACCAATGATAATGATAAGGTCAAAACAACAGCCTGTTCCAAAAACATAGGATCCTTAAGAGCACAGACTTAGTTTTAGGATAAAATAGGCTTTTACGTTTTGTTTTTCTTATAGCTTTTTTAAAAATAACTTTATTGAAATATAATTCATAACTACTGTAGTCCACTATTAAATTTTACAGTTCAATATTTTTAGTACATACAGGATTGTGCAAAAGTGATCGTAATCCATTTTAGAACATTTTCATCACCCCTAAATAAACCTCATAACCATTAGCATTCACACCTTTTCCTGTTCCCCCACAGCCTTATGCAACCACTAATCTGCTTTCTATATCTACAGTTTTGGCTATTCTTAAATGTTACACAGTATATGCCTTTTTTTTTTTTGAAACAGAGTCTCACTATGTCACCCTAGGTAGAGTGCCGTGACTTCACAGCTCACAGCAACCTCAAACTCTTGGGCTTAAGCTGTTCTCTTGCCTCAGCCTCCCAAGTAGCTGGGACTATAGGCACCTGCCACAACGCCCAGCTATTTCTCTGTTGCAGTTGTCATTGTTGCTTACTGATCCAGGCTGGGTTTGAACCTGCCAGCCTTGGTGTATGTGGTTGCACTGTAGCTACTGTGCTATGGGCCCTGAGCCCCATATGGCCTTTTTTGACTGTCTTCTTTCGGGTTTTTTTGCAGATTTTTTTGGCTGGGGCTGGGTTTGAACCCACCACCTCCAGCATATGGGGCCAGCACTCTACTCCTTTGAACCATAGATGCCGCCCTAGAATAATGTTTTTAAAATCCATCTATATCACAGTATGAATTGGTACTACTTCCTTTTCAGGGCTGCATAATATTTCATTGCATAATATATCACATTTTGCTAGCTTATATGGTACCTCTTATTTTTAACATTTTTGTGGAACTGCATACTGTTTTTCAAAGTGGCCATACCATTTTATATTTCTACCAACAATGTTAGAGGTTTCCAAATACTTTACATTTTCTCTGACTCTTATCTTTTTGATTATAACTATATTAGTAAATATGAAAAGTGCTTATTATGATTTACATTTGTATCAAAATGTGATGCAAAGCCAGATGTGGTGGCTCACACCTGTAATCCTAGCACTGTGGGAGGTCAAGGGGGGGTGACTTGCTCCACCTCAGGAGTTCGAGACTAGCTTGAGCAAGAACAAGACCCCATCTCTACTAAAAATAGAAAAACTAGCTGGGCACTGTGCCCAGCTGTAGTCCACATACTTAGGAGGTAGAGGCAAGAGGATCTCTTGAGCCTAAGAGTTTGAGGTTGATGTGAACTATGATGATCCCACCTCACTCTACCCAGGTCCACAGAATGAGACTTTATCTAAAAAAAGAAAAAAAAATTTTTTTTCTCAATTTTTTTTTTTCAGGTTAATGTGAGAGTA